CTTCAGGTTGAGAAACAGCCGCTTAGTGAATCAGCTGCAGTTCTATCATCTCCATCATATTACTGTCGGCTGAGTGAAGCTGTTTGAGACCAACGACAGAAATCTGATACGTTTCACTGCTGTAGTTAATAAGGAGAAAAATCTTTGTCGACTCAAATCATACCTTTTCTTCCACCAACAACAACAAAAAATCTCTACATGAGCTACATGGACCGCACTGCTTTACCTGCTTTTGCCTAAATGAATTCTAAATTAACATTAAAGAAAAATAGTATTTTCAGCATGTTATATCATTCTAACCTTGTTATTTTACACTGCAGTAATAAACATGAAGCAGACCACCTGTCCACATTCACAGACTGGTTTCCACTGCAGGAACCTGTTTGCAGGAACCTTTGTACATGTTCAGACTGCAGCAACCCCTTCGGTATAGGCATTTTAGAGTCATGTTTGGGGGAGAAAAAGTACCTAATCTGGGGTATGTGCTTGTAATTTTTAATTTAGGTCAGGGTTGAGGTAAGTTTTTCTGCCTACTTCAAGTCCTGAAAGAGTCTTCTCCTCTTACAGGCCCCCATTCTCACGATACAATGCTTCTTAAAGCAGATGTTCAGTTATTTCCTCACCTTGAAATTACAAAATGTGAGTTAAAACAATAAAACATTTATCCATCCTAACACTTTTACTTTGAAAATCCGTCATAATTTCGAGGGAATTTTATATGATTTCCGTTATGGTCATTTGGTCCTGGCTGAAATATTCTGGTTGAATCCCTCTGACTTCAGAGATCCTCTGACTTTTTCCACTAGTGCCACCATAAGGTTGAAATTGGTGGTTTGTGGAAAAATAACTCCTCCAGATATTTTAATGCATGTGTCCTTTTAACATCTACTTGATGTTTATTTCATCAACTGGCAAAAAAGCATCATCAGGTTGGAATTTGTCCAGTACACATATGTACTTATTTATTTATTTATTTATTTTTACAGCTGCTACTTTGGGTTTAGTGCTAATAAGTAACAATCTGCACTTACATACTGCTTCTCCAGCTTAACGGTACTCAAAGTGCTTTCCCATGTTTCCCAACCGTGTGCACACCAACAGCTATGCAAAGTACCTGCCTGCAATCAGGAGTAACTTGAGGTTCCAAATCTTGCTTGAAGACATTGGTTGTGAAGCAGAAAGGTATCAAACCTCAAACCTTGGAGTTACCGGTTGGAAAAAAATGCCAAACTAAGATTTGCATTCTCCTGCTGGAGACTGTTCCTGAGCTGCACAAGAAGGTTGCAAGACAGGATTTGTATTTACACAACAACATGTGCGGTTCAGCTGGTGTTTGCTGGTTGTATTTTCACGTTCAGTCATGCAGGTAGCAAGCAGCTCTGGTTTGGTTTTTGCGTATGTTGGCAAGCAGTGTGGAAAATAAGGGAAACAACAAAGCAAGATAATAAAATGAGGATGCTCTGGTACGACTGGACTTCTACCTAACACTAAACGTCCCCCTTACAACCATCCCACACTGCTTTCCTTCTACTCCGACTCCTTCCTCTTGTCTCGTTCGCAGGTCTTGTCTCAGGTGGGTTTGTGCTGGTGGGACCAGCTCAGTGTCCGTTTTCTCTATAAACAATAGTCCTCTGTTGTTTCTCCCTCTGCCTCCTCCTCTTTCATCCCTCTGGCATTTTCACCTCCCTTCACTGCAGTACCTCCCCCCCTCTCAGCACACTTCTCCCCTCACTGTTTATCCACTTCAGTCCAGTACTTCTGTTACTCTCATCCCTCTGTGCCTTGAATACAAACGACACCAAAGTGTGTTCAGATCTCTTTCAGCCCTCAGTGGTGTGACAGGGTTATGAAAATGGTATAAACTCGCTCTTCATGGAGAGCTCTAGTAAGCGCTGTTCAAATCAACTTTCACAGGGTGAACATGATACCAAACACTGCTGAGTTCACAGTTTGCTCTAAAAAAAATAGCTGTGTTCAGTGAAATGTAGCTTCATGGCATTTGTCAGCACGGAAGAAAGGTCTGACTGCGCCTCATTATTGTGCTATAGTGGGGAAAAAAAAATGGAATTCTTTTGACGATAAGGATGTCCGATATTGGCTTTTTCGCCAATATCTGATATGCCTATTTTATCCAACTCTCAATTTCCAATTCCGATATCAACCGATACCGATATATGTTTGTCACTGCAGCCACACTTGTTTACACGCTTCACGACGCAGTTTGATGTCATTATTTGCACGCCGGTAAATGCCGGCGAAATCCAATTCAATTCAATTCAATTCAATTTTATTTGTATAGCACATATTTACAACAACAGTCATCTCATAGCGCTTCACAAAGGCAGAGACAGAAACACCCAACAATCCAAAACATTTGGATTCCCTATAAGCTTCAGCAATCTGCAACAGTGGGAAGGAACCGAAAACCCCCACAGGGGAAAAAAAACCTCAGACAGAACCAGGCTCAGGGACGGACGGCCATCTGCCTCGACCGGTCGGGTGAGAGTGGGATGAATTATACAATTTAGTGTACAGTTAAACAAGTTATTAATCCAGGCATTATTTTATCAGTTTTCATTATAGGCAAAAGATAACGGTATTGACGGATATTACATTTTTATGCCAATATCAGGCCGATATTGGCCCACTGATATTATCAGACATCCCTACTTCTAACTAATTACCAATGCTAAGCCTAAGGTGTACCAACAGTGTTGTGACTGATGTTTTCATGGGACAATTTGTGTCATCAAAATGGTAAATTTACCAAAAAAACAAGGAAGTTTGCCTAGGAGGATCCAAATCTTCATTTAAACTTTCCATTTTAAGTGTGTTGGTTGTCGTTGTTCCACAGAGTGAAAAGGATTTTAAAAAATGGTAACATGCAGATAGAAATGTCAAGTTTATACCCATAGTTTACATCCAGTGAGTCAGACTGGACTCTGAAAATACCTGACTTGCATGACTGTTATGCACAGGGACCTCCCACCAATTTCACATAAAAAGTTCAGTTGAATCATGAAATGAACGCTCTTGAAAACAGTAATATTGCCATCTGTGACTTTACAGAAGGTTTCCCTGACCCTGAGGATTTTATCAAGGTCATGTTGGATTGAAATTTAGTGAAAACCGGTTACAAACCGAGACATAAGCATGGAGAACCAGTTGGGCTTCAACCAGTCCAAGAAGGGCGTACAAAAGCAGCTATTGTGTTGCATTACGGTAAAGGTAGGTAGTTTGAGCCATACTAAGCATTATAAGTCTGGTTACTTTGGACTCTGCAGCATCAGTGTTGACATTTCTGTCTTTATTGTGCCTCTGCAAGAATTCCAACCCTGCGTGAGAAGAATAAGGTATCAGGAAGATGGTCTTACACAAAAAAAAGCCACACATTGCACATCTTTGCACTTCAGGACATGCTGACATATTGACAGAAACACAAGGATTAAATCTCCCCTTTTAGCTCAAAGCCAGAACAGTTCAGTTTCCCTTTTGACCCTCCATGATCCAAAAGTTGCACCTGTCTTCCTGCTGCAGTGCTGCAGAGCTAATTCCGGGTTGCCGTCATACTCTGTGTACTGTATATAGGCTAGTCCCAGATTAGCAACTGAACTGGGTTAGTTCTTCCAGGGCTTGATCCATTACGCTGTGGTTTCAGAGGACCCAAACACCTCGGGGAGTCTGCAAACTTCCATTTAAAGTCTGTCCCTTGTGAGGAAATGTGCTGAACTGACTAAAAATACAGAGAGCAGTGTTTGGTGATAAGTGGAGCAAGTGCTGATCTTTTTTTTTATTATTTCACTTATGCATTTGTTTAACCTTTTAACTTAAGATATTTTTCATACAGATGCTGAGAATTAAAGCTGCACTCAGTGTTGTTATATCCATCCATCCATCCATTTTCTATACGCCGCTTAATCCTCATTAGGGTCGCGGGGGGGCTGGAGCCTAAGTGTTGTTATATGCACATGTAAAAGTTCCACATTCAAATGTCTGAAATGAACTAGACCAATGCTATGTTATGCAAATTAATTATGAAATCCTTAATCCAAGATAGCAAACTAGCGAGCTCACACTACATTTGTTCATGTTTCTTAGTTGTAATGCATCATCTTTATATTTGTTTGATTGTTTTGACTACAGATAAAAGTGCTGGGCTATCCTGAGACTGAATTCACCATCAACATAAGCTACAGTAGCTGTTCAGCTTGTTAACTAATTTAATGGTAAGTTAGCAGATAACATTATGCCAGCTTAGAATGAAATAGCATAACATGAATATACATGAACAAATGTAAATACAACTTTAAACATTATCTCATCTGTCAACATGGTTTTCTGCTTGAGTAATGTCGGATAAATTTTCATCTGCAATGGTGGTAAAGACAAGGACTCCCATGATTCCCCCTAAGGACGTCATTGTACTACGTCTTCTGTTGTTGTTTTGATTGAGAGACTCCTAGTGGCAGAAATTACATACTGTGCCTTTAAATGACTACATGGAGCCTAAAGGGTATCATTAATTATGACAAACTTAAACAGAATTATCGCCCATTTTCGTATTTCTCAGTTTATCGTTTTGGTTTTGTGGCTGCAAATTTGCTGATTTGTTTCAGTCACAGCGAGATATTTTCTTTAAGAGTTGGTTGAGACCAAGACAGAGTTAAAAGGAGAGTGAATATTGGCCTTACATTCATCGAATAGAAACAAAATGATGATGGCTAATGTTTGCTAGAAAGAAAAAAAAACTGCATTACTAATCCAATATCACATTCAGAAATATGTGTCTCACACATTTAAAACGTTTACGTTATAAAGTAATGTAGTTTGATGCTTTTTAGTCAAAGAGGAGTTTGTTTAAACCCACTACAGGAAGATCAAAGTCTGATACACAACATGATGGGTATCAGTAGGTCTGTCCTTGTACTTTGGGACACTTTTTTGCTAAACTGGGTTGCAGTCACCCGAGCTGATGAGCTCTTAACACCGTTACCTTCTGTATTCGTATCTGTAGGTCCCACAGTTTTTCTGAGATGGCAGTGGAAAGGGAGCGTCACTGGAAGGCGGCGCGAACCGTTCGGTCACTGAGCGGCTGGGTGGGACGGAAGTTGTCCCCCAACATCCCATCGTTCCCTTCTGGCAGCTCCGCCCCTTTAATGTGGGACCGCAGCCTCCGAAACTCCTCAATCTGCAGAGACAGAAGAAAGAGAAGAAGGTGAACTGGGTCACTGCTATGTATCTTAAAGCTCGAACAGTGCTGATATCCCTGGATTACAGTGGCTCACTTCTCGATTTTTGTGTCCTCTGATCCCTTCATAAGAAGACAGTGGTTTTGCTGCAGCACACTGCTTTTGCACCATGACTTCCGATACATACACAGGGCCACTGAAGCACTTAAGAATTTAAATATTTGCTTGACACTCGGGGCTTCCTGAGGCTGTTGTTGGACACTAAGCTGATTAAGCTTTTAGTACGTGAAACCTGACTGTGGAAAAAGAGATGGCTGGGCCTCATGTGGAATCTCTCATGAGACAGAAGAGTCCTACGATACACTGACAGAGTAGTCATTTGTTCTGGTGAGGACAACATTTGTCAAAGGAAGAACGGCAGAAGGGTGAACAAACAGCCTGTATTTACTCATCGTCTACTTAGATTTGGTCGTATACGTGGAACAGAAACTTTTGCTTTTTTCTTTCTCAGACCAACAAGTTCCAAATCTGACTTCATGTGTGAATGCGGTCACCACAGACACTATCACTTCTACACACATGTACCATAGAGTCTGGCTCCATCAGCCAAAACAAACAGAACAGTTCCTGTGCTGTCTTGCTATTGGCTTGCAGAAGAAGGATTTACAGCAGCCTGTCAAAGTGCAAAACCTGTGGGCATAGCAACTGTTGTCTGCATGCATATATCCACTGTGAACACAAACTCCTGGTGCTCCAGCAGTCAATAAAAGCCGGATGTTTGAGGTGCGTAGTCTTGGTAAGCAGGACCTGCTGTCTAAAAAAAAAAATACTTCTGCTTCTGTTATCTGTGTTTAGCAGTGTGACCATGGTTAGAACGCAGAGAAAAAAAAGCTCCTACTGTATTTACCACTAAGTCATGCATACAGTATATACAATTATATCTGACATTCAGTTCACCAGGGTTACTGACTTTACTTTCCTAAGATCTGCCCTTTTCTCTTCAGATGTTCAATATTTCCCAGAATGTCTTGAGAGAACTTCAAGAAGCGTCACAGTTTAGTTGTAACAATCTCTGTAATACAAACTGATGTGTGTCTTTCTTGGGAGTTGCGGTGAAAGAACATGGGCTTAGTGTGTTCAAAAAAACACCAGGAAATGGGGTATTGTACTGTAAGATGGTCAGGATCTGCAGCTGCTATACGAGTAAACATCTTTTACATAGATTCAGTCTGCCCAACACTTGGCGCTTGCTACTTTGGATGTCCACTGAAAGTATACATCCCCACAACATTAAAGTAGATCCTTTGGGTCATGTGGTCACTGATCTTGTTTCCTTTTCTATCTCAGTGAACTTTCACAACCAAGTTTTTCAGTTCCCCCAGTCTTATTTTTCCACATGTGGAGCCATGATGCAGACATGTAGATAGACTCAGCCCAAAGATCCAACACTGAGAAAGTTTTATTGTTCACAGGTCATTTTATAATCATGTTCATGTAGTTAGATGTTCAGTGCATTTAATTTTGTTGCATTGAGTTTCTACTTTGAGGTCAATATTTTCTGCATAGTCTTTCGAAAGTACTTGTTTTTGATTGTTTATTAAGGAAAATAATCTACCAGTCAATTGAGAAATAATACAGTTAATGATTGTTATAATTTTGAGTCATTTAGCATTTCAGTGAAATTGTAAAAATGTGAACTGACTTTTGTTGTATTCTACACAATGGGCCCACACATTCAGATGCATTGATTCATTCATATTCTTGTCTTTGTGAACTTTTAGCTACCAAGATCTTTGTAGTTCTACTCCATGTACCACCAGGCTAAAGGCCCTGATAGTCAGGAAAAATGGAAGATTCCAAAATCGTTAAATAGCAGGGGATACTGGATTGTACCATGTTGATAGGGAACAGAGGGGACATGTGCATTGTTTTCTAAAATACCCAAAACAGCCTGAACTGTTGATGTTTCCGTGTGAGAACTGTTGGAATCAAATTTGTTCATGATGTTTGATTGATGTTGGCCATGTTTGGTTTGCTCCTGCAGGAAGCGCTACAGGTATATAAGGCCTGGAATAGATCCTCCTCAGCGAGAGTCTTATTCTCGGTTGTTACTAAAGTCCCATATTACATGATTCTGCGCAGCCACTCAGACTATTATTGTGTCATTGGATTTGTACTCAGTGCAGCAGGTGCTAGCGTTGGTTAGCAGACGGCATTTCTGATTATAAACAGAATATGCCCCTTCAGTCATGTGCCTTGAAAACTCCTGCATTGTGTGCTTGGCCATATTATTATCTGCTTAGCTGCTTCATATTCTGCCTCCTTTTTGTGATTTTATAATTCACCCACATTCTGACTTTGGCCAGAGGCAGGACAGTCAGAAGTCTTTCTTTCTGCTGGCATTTCAAAGGATCGGCAGGCCAGAGGGCTTCGGGCATGAAAGACCAAAATGAATGTCACAAGGTTACCGTCAGTGTACTTCACAACAACCTGCTAGAGGAGAGCCGGGCAAAAGCCAAATTTAGGTTTAAATCTTTCAAAGGTAATGTGACAGAAGTATTGATTGGCAGTGGGTGTAAAGGCTTCTGTACTGTGGTTAATGCCAGAGAGCTGTAGGTTAGTGAACCTGTGTGGCATGGAAGGACCTGACGTACTGATTCTATGTGTAGCTAAGATGGGATGCAGAAAAAGAAATCATGGACCCAAGAGGCACTGATTACAGTCTTCAAGTTTCTCTGATTAGATGATCACATGAGCATGTTGACAGTCAGCGCTGTCAATCCCAGTTTGGAGCTGGACGACTATTGGTTAGTGAGCTAGGTACCACCTGGGAGGAATTCTTACTGGCTTGTACAGCTGGGGGGGTAGCTAGTTTTGTGGGGATGGCAGAAGTAAACATCTTTGTATCTTAACAGCTTTTATTTTACAAGTTTGTAACAGCCACAAAACACACAAAAAAGATTTTCACCATATGGGACATATGGACACAAACCCAAATCAAAGCCCAGGAAGCAGAAGCCTTCAAGGAGATTAACTTTGTGGACGGCAACATCAAGTTCACAAG